TGTAGAATTTTATCTGAAAACATAATTACATGTTCAGCCGGTACATATCTTTAGTATATAATGACACGGTTTGATGTTACATAGTAAATTATTCATATTGTTCAAGTTGTCTTCCGAGGATAACACTGAAGAAACTTAAAGTTGGCAGCATTTTAAACCGACTTCAAAAAAAGGTGGTTCTCAATTTGACTTGTATGTATATGTTTATGCGCGATTATCTCGCCACTGGCTGACCCGATTTTGATGGAGTTTTCGGAAAAGTGTTTGTTCTCTCACTCAGGGGAAGGCTTTAGTAGATTTAATTAATTATATAGTTGGTTTTTATAAACGCAGTTTATTACAGAATCAGTAAATAAAATATCAGAGCCTGTTCAATGCAATAAACAATGAGGTCTTTCTTCTTAATTATACACGAATATAATGGAAATAATCTATGTAAAGGGAACTTCCATTTAAATTGCACAAAAATATCACATAGTATTTCAAAGAATTATTCCCATTATGGATTCTCGGTATAAGCCGCACCTGCGTCCGTTGCGTTAGTGGTTCAATAGTTCAATACTCCTATTAAAATAAACCTTATTACTATTGACATAGAACCCATGTTCCAACTCATGAGGGACTAATCATGATGTCACTTGTCATCGTATTTAAATAAACAAAAAACTTTATGGGCATACTATGCCTTCATTTCCCGAAGGAATAGAAAAATGTACAAAATTTTTTAAACTTCTTTTTTCTAGTAAAGAGGACTAATATTTTTGTACTTCCAGTATAGCTGAAGACCTCTGTTTGTCCAATTGCTGCAGTGGATTAGCAAAAAATAAAAAGTGTTTTACCGAATAAAGTGCGCACCTACTCGTGGTGATCTGAGAAAGAAAGAAAAGAAAGAAAAACCATTTATTTTGCTACGACACACAAAAAGGATTTAGAAACACCGAAAAAAAGCCCATAGTGCGTCGCAGCGCAAAAGGCTGGAGCTCAGCTTAATACCGTGGACCGGGCACAGAGGCTCGAGCCCACGGCGCTGATTTTCAGCACCAGCCCGTTATAATACGTACTAGTCTACTAAACATCTAAATTAACGCTGCTCGGAGTACAGCATGATGTATAATATAGTGAATTAATTTAAAAGTGAAAACAAAATCAACAGCTACGATTACGGCCAAAAATCTAAATAAATGGATAAAAAATAAATAATAAAAATAATAACAAGCACAACATTACATTACACATACGTATTAATAACAATAGCACATATTGAAAATAAATATAATAACATTCAAAAACAATTATGTTGGGCGCATCACCATAGACAGTGAGTATCTTTACTTTGACATTTGCCTCAATGACATTGACAATATGACGCAATCCAGACGCGGCTGGACAAATCAAATAGTTAGACAAGTGCATGTGGTAATGAATGGTGCTCAGATTACGGAAACAAAACAACCTAGTTGTGCATAATGTTGTCGATATTGATCATGTTTATTGTGAGTGGAACGCGAACTAGATTATGCAGTACTATTGGCGAAAACAGAAAAGGTAAGGAGACAACAAGTGTAATTCTACATTCAAAACAATCATAACAAACAATTTTTCTTGTTTATTAGTGTTAGTGTGTGGTTATGTGTTGAATAAGTGTAATAAAAGCAAAATAAAAATAAAATAAAAATAAAATAAAATACAAAGATATTATAATTATATAACTAAAAAACTATCCCCCCAGAACAAGCCATAGATATACACACACATTTTAAGTTAAAATAAAAGCTTGACAAAAAACAGTTACTGGTACAAGGTTATTGGAGAGCCAGCTGCTTATGCAGTAACATTTTTTTCAGTTGGTATTTAAACGATTGCGCTGTCCTTAGGCCCCTCAACGGCGGAGGGAGATCATTCCAGCAGCGAGTCGCAGCAAACCTAAAGCTGCCCCTAAAAGCTGCAGTCCCGTGCTGCGGTATCTTGAGAGGGTCAACCATGGAACGGAGACCGGACTCATACTGAGTACGCCTCCAGGTTAGTTTCTCATACAAGTACTGTGGCTTATGAGTCGCTACTACACCGAACATCAGGCCAGCCAAGTGCAACGTACGCCTGGCAGCCATCTTCAGTACCCCTAGCCGATTTATGTGTGGTGTGATATGTTGTCTGCGTGGTACCTGTACACAAAAACGAATACAGGCATTCTGAATGCGCTGAATCAGTCTATCCGTTCTAGAAAGCAGGCATGGGCCATAGACAACGTCACAATAATTGAGCCCAGACAGAATCAGACTATCCACCAACTGCTTTCTTATCGGAATACTTAGATAGTTTCTTATGCCATACAATACCTTTAATCTGTAAAAGCAATTCTTTGCTACTTTTTTTATGTGAGCCTCAAAGCGCAATTCCGGGTCCAAAATCAAGCCCAAATTGCGAGCTTGTAAAACACGCTCTATCTTCTGCCCCATGATTGTAATGACTGGATGGGCTGAGAGTATAGCCGCAACTTGTTTCTTGGTACCCAGCACCATGAATTTGGACTTTAACGGGTTTAGGACCAGAGAGTTGTTCCCAGACCAGCTCACCACCCTCTCCAGATCCTCATTCAACCTCCGCACCGCTACCGCTGTGTCAGGTCCTTTGAAGGTTGTGTACAGCTGGATATCATCTGCGTACATATGGTATTTGCAATTGAGAAAGGACCCAGCAACGTCAGCACTGTAGAGGATGTACAGCAAAGGCCCGAGTATGGATCCCTGTGGGACTCCCCTAGACACAGGAAGCGTAGCCGAAGACATGGATAATCCGTCCCTGGTCTGAATCTCCACATACTGAGATCTGTTGGTTAAGTAGCTTTTAAACCAGCCGACAGCACCCTGATCAAAGCCATAGTATACCAGCTTAGACAGAAGTAGATTGGTGTTAATGGCGTCGAAAGCTCGCGAAAAATCCAAAAGCACAAGTATAGCGCCCTCCCCCCTATCACGTGCCTCCAAGATGTTACCCACCACATCTATGAGAGCAGTAGCAGTACCTCTACCCCTACGGAACCCCGACTGAAGGTCAGGTAGAATGTTATTGAACTCCAGGTATTCAATGACTTGCTGATATACCACACGCTCCAAAATCTTCGACAGACAGGGCAGGATACTTATAGGTCTGAGATCTTTTATACTGGTTGGGTCACTAATCTTGGGTATTGGGCGCACTATGGCACGACGCCAGAGACTGGGGAATGTATGCGACTCTATGGATCTATTGATGATGTCAGTGATGGCTTGCAAGGTGTTAGGCAATGTGAGAATTATCATGTCCAGACTGATGCCATCGACTCCCTGCGCATTCGACCTCAGACTCCTGATTATCCGTAGGACTGCCTCTTGGTTGGTTGTAGACAGTGAGAATTGAGCTGAGCTGTATCTACGGGTACCAAAGCTAGCTATCTGTAAAATGTTATCACTGTCATTTCCCGGGACATCCAAAAATGCACGATTGATGCTATCCGGATTGTCGAAATGAGCCGGTAATATCCTATCTGTATGATCTGGAAGTACATCGCACTTGAGGTTCTTCCACAACCGTTTAGGATCACTACTGTGGTCGTTTACGTTTTTTTTAAAGTATGCCGTTTTTTCTCTCGCTAATGCGGCGGCAGACTCACGCTTGAGATCCAGGTAGAATTTTTTATGATGTATGTCCTTGGTTCTGCGACATCTTACCCTGGCTTCATCCCTCAACCTAAACATCCGCCTAATATTCTCGGTGATCCATGGTGTAGGCCGTCTACGATAGGTTCTTTTCTTCATGGGGGCATGCAGATCATATAGCTGGATCATGTGTAGGCTGAAGTCATGCACCATTGCATCTACATCACCCAAATCCTTTATTTCGGACCAAGGAACCATACCCAGGTCACTTTGAAAGAAATTCGTCAATATGTCCGAAAGGGAGCGAAAACTGACCATCCTGGGCCTAACTTTTGGCTTCGCAAAAACAGTTTCGCACGTAATGAAGGAGTGATGGCCAAGCTCACTAATGTGATTCACCTTAACGCCGCGAGTTACAGCGTCAGTACACACGATGTCAATGAGTGAGCTGCCATCACCCACGAAGTGTGTGGCTGTGTCAACCAACTGAACAACACCCATGTATTCAAAAAAATCTGTAAGCTGTTTGTATTTTAAGGTATTTGTATCCAGCAGATTAACATTCAGATCGCCCAACAGCACAAGGTTATCGTAGGGGGCCAGACCACTCACGCTAGCAGTTACGGCATCAAGGAAAAGTTCCAAGTCTTGCCAAGGTGGGCGGTACGCGGTCCCAATCAAAACCTTCCTCCCGTTTACGGTTAGGCCAAGCCAAAGTTGCTCAACGGTAGGGTGTTCGGGATGAGCTCTCACACGCGCGTTAATGCTGTCTTTTATGTAGAAGGCAACCCCCCCGCCACGACCACCCCGCGTAGTCGCCGGTCTCGGTATGTGTCTGAACTTGTACCCACTTATACTAGGAGCACGATCCTCTTCCCCTTTACGTAGCCAGGTTTCATTGATGGCCATGATATCCACCGAGTGGTTGCTCATGGCGATTAGGAATTCATCCTGATTTGTCCCCAGAGAGCCCGCATTTAGAAGACCAAACTTGATGCATTTACCACGACTCATTGATGCTATGGAGAGGTGTGGCGGAGGGTGGTGGACAAACTTCGCAGCCTGCGATCCCCGAGCCGCCGGGAGGTTGTACAAGTGGCCAGCGCAGTAGTGGAACGTGCTGTGTACAGACCCCTACGAAAAGCATAGCATATAATATATAATAGTACACACAAAAGGCATGTCATATATAATGGAGTGTATAAAATATGTAGAGTATATAATGATAAATATGAAGGGCATAATAAATAGTACAGTCCAAAAATACTCCCCACAAGTAACATTTTTAGAAATGTAATATGTACGTGAAATATTAAGGCATATGTCAAAAGAATAGAATAAGTAAAAGGTTGGTATGCAGGAGAAGTACAAATGTTGTCCATCTCTAAAAATAAAACATTAAAACAGTGATCCACACAACAGAAACTGTATTTAGGCCATTTCGATTTCAGTACCGAAGATTCTGGAGAAATCTTCCTCCGTGCGGATCCTCTGCGCCTTGTCTCCAGGCTCCCTCCTAGCGAAGATGCGGCCCTGCTTGGTCCAGACAAACCTCCACTTGAGGAGGCTAGCGGCATCCCGCGCCCTCCGAAATAACTGCCGGTTGACTTTTGTCAACCGCTCATTAACGAAGAAGCGCTGCGCTGGGCCGGGCATGTCTAAGTCGTCAGTTGTCGCACCGCGCCGAACTCGCGCGCCCGTCAGAAGCTTATCACGCAAGTCCCTGCGAGCAAGGCGCACGACAAGCGGTCGCGGACGAGACTCGGTCGGACCCGCCGAGCTTGTTACGTTGAGCTGTCTCCCGCCGATGCGCTCCGCGCTGACGATGTCACAGTCCTCGAAATTAACTCCGAGCTTGCGGCCAATCGCCTTTACAATATGAACCGGGTTTTCCGACTTTGTCTCCGGCAAGTTTGAAACTTCGACATCATTGACGAGGAGGTCCTGATCTCTATCGTTGATTTCCCTCCTCAAGTCCTCTACGACCCGGTCCAGGTTACAAGAGCCCGAAGAGACTGTAGTGGCGGTGGCTCGCAGCTCCAGTACGTCCAACCTGGCCTCCAAACCATCTACGCGAGCGCTACATACACCCAATGCGGCCCCAAGTCGCGACATCTCCACCTCCATCTCCTTTCTAAAGCCCTTAATTTCTTCTCGCACTGCCCTAAGCTCCACAACAATCATTTGCAAGTTCGTCTCCGCCGCAACAGACAAACCAAGAAGAGGAGCAGAGGAAGCAAGCGAGAGCCCCCCCTCAGCTCCTGCCCGAGGACTCCTCGGCTCACCAGAGTCTGCCATGGCAGTCATTTTGTTGGTGTCGGCAGAGGGGCTCTGCGCGGAACCCCTGACTGGGGTTTCAGTCCGGTTATCTCGGGCAATATGCTTCTTGCATTCCGGACAACGCCATCCCTGAGCAATACCAGATTTTGTGGGGATGCCAACACATGCCCTATGGTATATTTCCTGGCATTTGGTACATTTAGCGCCGTCCTGCGTCGATATAAAGCGCCCGCAACCTCCGCATTTAGTGCCCGGCATTTTTAACTAAGTGTTAGGTGTTGTCGGGGGCAATTAACAGATGGCGTTAGTATCGAAAAACTTTATGTAGTGTCTTCCCTCAGATATTAATATTCTGGTGGGTAGTTGTAAAATCGCAGCTCGTCAATTGCTTAAGTTTCACTATATAACACAGCTCACAGAATACACAATCTAGCGTTCACTACACTGTATATTATACTGGTGATCACAGAGAATAGTAATAAATTGGTTTCGCTGATAATCGACTTTTTATTCCATTTATTTTTGTCAACACTTGCACTGAGATGTACTCCGAAACAGCTGTCAGCTGTCAACTGGAGGTTTAAGACGCCCGCTTCTCGTACACGAGAGTGCGCCTCATGTGTGCGATACACCTCATGGAAACCTACCAAAGGTAAGTAGGTACCAATGTGTCTTTCTCCGAGTTATATGTACTGTCTAAGATTATTTAGACGCCACTGACACTGACATACGGTGAACGAAAACATCATGAGGAAATCTGGGCTTATAATTTCTAATTTTAAGTCAGAAATTGCCAACGTGCATTGCGCAAGCGTGGTGATTAGTACTCAAACCTTTTCCATGTGAGAAGAGGTAATGACCTCTACATAGTAATAGTGGCTTCTGCTAACTCATTATTCAGCATGCATCAAGCACGATAGTCTTTATTTTTTACCTATTTTCATACCCTTGACAGTAAATGAAGGACTGCAGGAAGAGATTCCTTCGGGAATATGTAGTACCTATGTACCTCCAATATATTTATATATGTGTTCTCCTGTGTACTGTCTGTGTATTGTGCATAAATAGATAAATAAATAAATAAATCTTCACTACCTAAAAATAACATTAAGATTTGCGAAAAGTAAATAAACCCAACCGAAATATCGAGCAGAACCCTTCAAACAAGACAGACCCCGTGTTGTACTGACAAACATCCAAACGTAGAAACTTTATCATTTATAATATTAGTGCGATAAATGGCTCCATCTATGTATAAGACGGAAAATAAATTATTTTTAAACTTATTTTGTTTACTGTCATTTGACTTTTAGAAGTTCGATATTTTATTAGTTGTTTGTAATGAATATATTTTGATTAGATATGAATGGTAGCTTGGAGAGTAAAATACTCCTAATCTAGAATATTCATAGTTTGAAGTTTCAAACTAAGTTTAGCTTTGTATACTTGTTATGTTAATTTAAACACAATTTGACAATCGGTTTAAAAAAATATCGGGAGGAGAAACGAACTTAACGATAGAGAATTTAAAAGTTTAAAATTGTCTATTCACTTTAAGCATATTCTTTCCTTCATGTGAAGAAACCAGGCATAAAAACCAAATATTTATGCTTGACTGTGCCTAAAATCAGTTAAACAAACATATTCTTAAAATCATCTCCTCTTGTACCAAATACATTAATTATAATCCCACGCATAACATTTACAACTTTATTCGTATAGGTATAAAATCCACTTTCATTAAAATTTTAATAACACATTAAGTTTTACTGTTCATAATTTTATTTATTGGTATTGCCATCTGTCTGTCCCTTGAAATAGAATAATATCTTTTATATTGCCATATAAAACTAGTTTCCATATTTTGAGGGGAAAAAAGAAAAATATAAAATGTACAAATTACTTTGCCAACCCGCATTGAACAAGCGTGGTGATTAATGCTCAAACCTCCGTGTGAGAAGAGGCTTTGCTCATTTATAGACTGTTGATGATGATGATGATAATGATTAAATTCCTTATTATATTGGTAAAACCTTGTTTTTCTTATTAAATAGGACTGGACAGTGGTAATGAACTGTTAAGGCTGTGAATACTTGATCAATAAAATGATTACCGAGATATTACATTAAAGCATCTGTGAAGGTAAAGTTGACCCAAATCCCCAATTCAAGATCGAAACCTTTTGACATTATCAAAACTAACACAATTCATTAAATGAAAATTACACGCAATTCAATAGTAATATGTTCACATTAAAATAAATCGTCTAGACTTTACTTTATCTTTAGTCACTCCGAAATTATTAAACCACAATCTCAAAATGCAGGCGTACGTCAAAGAGAATTAACAATGAATTCCAAGAACACAGTGTCAGAGATAATCAGTGTTGCATAGTGTGAATAAAACCGAATTAAAATTTATATAATTTAGCAAACGTTCGGCCCCCTTTATGGCACCCATTAAGATAATTAAACCCATCAAAATTTTCGAAATGTCAACGAGACACTTTCACCGCAAAGGACTATTGTTTAAACTTAGTGTCATAAAAGACTTTTCTGACCCCCTTTTTAATTAAGGACCCTTGGCGATGACCCCTCAGATGTAAAAGGTGAACCCTAATTCGTGGTTGTCTGCACGTTTGAAACGAAACCTTTTTTGTGTTTGGTAAAAGTTGCTTTTTATTTTAATGTGTTTTGTTTTTGAGTAAATACTGCAAAGCACTTTGTTTCTAAGTTAATTCTTTAATGGATCAGTTTTATTTTGTTGTCAAATTAAGTTTTTAAAAGACGTGCGAGATGAGAATGGATCACGACGGTGGATTAGTTAAGATGTAGTTGAACAGACTATCAAATCTATATATATAAAAGAAAGTCGTGTTACACTAGTTACACTATTTGTAACTATAGAACGCCTCAATCGATTTAGATGAAAATTAAGTAAAAACGCGGGTTACTCACGTGAATATACTGAGAAAAGCTCTACTAGTTTCGAACCACAGAGGGGTTCTTCCTCATGAGCAGCGTGCGCGGTCGCGGCGACGTCGCGCAGCTCACTCTGAGTAACCCGCGTTTTTACTTGATTTAGTATGTCTCACGATAGTTATTATAAAAACATAGATGAAAATTGTTGGGGAGGTAGTTTAGAACCAGGAGACGGACATAGGATACTTTTATAGAATGTTTTTTTTTACTTTTTACCGAAAATCACGAACGGGAACGGGTGCAAAATGGGATTGCGCGTACGAAGTCGCGGGCAGAAGCTAGTTATTTATGAAGCCGAAGTATATTGTCTTGCATTGTTCAAGGTCAAACTCAATATAGATACAAAATTTCTCATCGCTTCACAGTTAATACAAACAATCCATACTGTGTAAATTTAAAATTATTATGATTAATTCGATGTTATCAACAGTACCTACCCATTCTTCCATGAAAATTCCAGTAACCAAAATTGATAGTTGGCTGTCAAAATGCCATTGCTCTCATTTGTTTGTCAAGTTATAATTTCCATGTTTGATCTTATTTTGTGAAATACTAGCTTTCGGTCTGCGGTGTTGCCTTCGTTAAACCCAGAATTATTATTTTATGTTACTTTCTCAAAAGTAATATTTTCAATACTGATTTTATGGAACATCATTTTCAACAGTATTCACTTCAGTGTTAACAAATAGACAGTCAAATTTTTCTTTTCTATAATACCAATATGAGATACTTGCGATAGTGTTGGTACGAATACAATTGTTGTAATTTTAGTACAGTAGGTGGAAATATAATTAATTTATTATTGATTGCTTTACGTTTATTAATTTATGCATTGAACATTAGTGTTTGGTCTGAGCTAATATTTCGAGTCCATTAATTACTATATACTTAGTTCATTCACACAGTTATTTTAGAGCTAATTTGACGTGAGTTTATCACGAAATTAATATTCCATTTTAGCTATTATGGTATGAAATTATGTGCCATGTTTATTTTTCTCCTGAATTTTACAGTTATATGAAACAGTAACGTTCCAAAGAATAAGTTTAAATTCAAGTTTAAAACTGACATTGACATTATAACAAAAACGTATAACACGTCACTCAAACTGTATATAACTCAAAATATAATTGACAACACCCTCGAAATGTCATACCGAGCTAGCTTGGCAACTTACTTTCAAATATCAAAAATGTGTCATGAATAATAATAAAAAAAAAAAACACGAACAAAAAAATATCGTGCGACAGCCCTAACCGCTGAACTGGCACGCAATGATTGATCGCTGTTTACGTCGAGCCCGACCGTTCCATCTGTACCAAGGATGTCACTGTCGCAAAAGCTTTTAAATTTCCATAAACGACCAAAATTATTTAGTAGGAGTTAGGAATTGAGATTAGCGATAAAAGTGTTATGTCAGCAATCTGCTTCTAGTTGGAGCTGTTGATTTACGTTAACCTTAATGTTCTGTTCTGTTCTGTCTCTTGTATCGGATATTATTGTGATTCTTATATAAAAGAGATAAAGGTTAGTTTTTCGTGCATAGCTTGCTAAAGAGATATATACAACTTAACTGAAGCATACACTAGGAGACAAATGTTTTGAGACTTGGATCGCCAACGACGTTTGGTGAAGTGGCGCGACGTTTGCCAGTCTTTGGTCGACATGTCTGGCAACATCAACGTCGCTGTGAACATAAGGCTCGCGTTGTCGCCTTATAATATAATATGTCGGACGATATCGGCTTCGCTTGACATGTCACCAATACATGTCGTGGTGCATAATATCCTATATTAGCTTCTGCTCGCGACTTTGTACGCGCAATCCTGTTTTTCCCGGAAACTAAAACTAAACTAAACTTTTTTTTCGAACGGGATAAAAAGTATCTTATGTCCGTCTCCTGGCTTTAAGCTACCTCCATACCAATTTTTAGCTAAATCTGTTCTGTCGTTCTTGAGTTATAAGTGGTGTAAATAACACGACTTTCTTTTATATATATAGATAGACTAGCTTCTGCCCGCGACTTCGTACGCGCGATCCCATTTTGCCCCCGTTCCCGTTCGTGATTTTCGGTAAAAAGTAAAAAAAAGTATTCTATAAAAAGTATCCTATGTCCGTCTCCTGGTTCTAAGCTACCTCCCTGCCAACTTTCATCTAAATCGATTGAGGCGTTCTTGAGTTATAGAGGTAAATAGTGTAACTAACACGACTTCTTTTATATATATAGATTGTATTCTTAGCTTAAAATACGAACAGTAATCAGAGTCAAAGAATCGGTGTTGAAGTAGGGGTGATTATTATGCCGATCGACGAACCGACTACTATAAATGACTCTGGAAACCATCTTGTTTTACCCCTACCAACTATCGTAATACATACACAATTAATTTACTAACCAATATCACCCATTTACCTAAGGTCCACACTCCACGACGCGCGCGAAGTCACTCGACTATTTTCAACCCATAACAGGGTCTCATAATCTTGAGCAGTATGCAAGACAACCGATTGATTTATGAATCCTTCTCGTTGCTTAAAAATCGGAGTAAGTTGTATTTCGATTTGTAAGGCAATTTGATTTTCA